AGATCCAACTGTAGGCCACTTCGTGTTCTTCGTGTTCCCAAAACACAACTCCCAGGCCACATTTTGAATGCCCAGAGCCAACTGAAGGGCACTTCGTGTTCTTCGCTTTCCCAGAACATCACTATTGTACCATATTTTGAATGCCCGGAGCCAGCTGTGGGCCACTTCGTGTTCCTCGTCTTCCCAGACCACCATTCCCAGGCCACATTTTGAATGCCTGGAGCCAGCTGTGGGCCACTTCGTGTTCTTCGTGTTCCCAGAACACCGTTCTTGTACCATATTTTGATTGCCCGGAGCCAACTGTGGGCCACTTCGTGTTCTTCGTCTTCCCAGAACACCACTCCCAGGCCACATTTTGAATGCCCGGAGCCAACTGTAGGCCACTTCGTGTTTTTCGTGTTCCCAAAACACAATTCCCAGGCCACATGTTGAATGCCCGGAGCCAACTGTAGGCCACTTCGTGCTTCTCGCGTTCCCAGAACACCATCCTGCACCATATTTTGATTGCCCGGAGCCAATTGTGGGCCACTTCGTGATCTTCGTGTTCCCAGAACATCAGTCCTGTGCCGCATTTTGAATGCCCGAGCTGAGGCAGGCTGAGGCCGAGGCAGGCTGAGGCCGAGGCAGGCTGAGGCTGAGGCCGAGGCAAGCCGAGGCAGGCTGAGACTGAGGCAGGCTGAGGCTGAGGCTGAGGCTGAGGCTGAGGCCGAGGCAGGCTGAGGCTGAGGCCGATGCAGGCTGAGGCTGAGGCAGGCTGAGACTGAGGCTGAGGCAGGCTGAGGCTGAGGCAGGCTGAGGCTGAGGCTGAGGCTGATGCAGGCTGAGGCTGAGGCAGGCTGAGGCTGAGGCCGAGGCAGACTGAGGCTGAGGCTGAGGCAAGCCGAGGCAGGCTGAGACTGAGGCTGAAGCTGAGGCAGGCTAAGGCTGAGGTTGTGGCTGAGGCTGAGGCAAGCTGCGGCTGAGGCAGGCTGAGGCTGAGGCTGATGCAGGCGGGGGCTGAGGCAGGCTGAGGGTGAGGCTGAGGCGGGCTGAGGCTGAGGCTGAGGCCGAGGCAGGCTGAGGCTGAGGCCGAGGCAAGCCGAGGCAGGCTGAGGCTGAGGAGGCTGAGGCTGATGCTGAGGCAGGCTGAGGCTGAGACAGGCTGAGGCTGAGGCTGAGACAGGCTGAGGCTGAGGCAGGCTGAGGCTGAGGCCGAGGCAGGCTCAGGCCGAGACAGGCTGAGGCTGAGACTGAGGCTGAGGCTGAGGATGAGGCCGAGGCAGGCCGAAGCTGAGACAAGGTGAGGCTGAATGGGGGGGGGGAAGGGGGGGGGAGGGGGGGAGGAGGGGAGGCTGAGGCAGGCTGAGGCCGAGGCAGGCTGAGGCCGAGGCAGGCTGAGGCTGAGGCTGAGGCAGGCTGAGGCTGAGGCTGACGCGGGCTGAGGCCGAGGCAGGCTGAGTCTGAGGCTGAGGCAAGCCGAGGCGGGCTGAGGCTGAGGCTGAGGCTGAGGCTGAGGCTGAGGCAGGCTGAGGTTGAGGCCGACGCAGGCTGAGGCCGAGGCAGGCTGAGGCTGAGGCCGAGGCAGGCTGAGGCTGAGGCTGAAGCTGAGGCAGGCTGAGCATCCGTAGGAATCCATATGAATCCTTAGGAATCCCCAGGAATCCTTAGGAATCTGTAGGCATCCTTAGGAATCCGTAGGCATAGTTAAGCATCCTCAGGAATCCTCAGGGATCCCTAGGAATCCTTAGCAATCCCTAGGGATCCCTAGGAATCAGGATTCCTATGGATCCCTAAGGATGCCTAAGGATGCCTTAGGATTCCCTAGGAATCCTTAGGATTCCATTGGATCCTAAGGCCGTTGCCACTGCGACTGTCATTGCGAATGCGACTGCGACTGCGAGAACTGCAGAATTCTACAACTGGATTCTCACCTGAATCTTAAGGGGAATGCTTCCAGATATGCTTATACACATCGCTGTTAGGTTGCTTTGCCGGGATATTTGTTTTATTTGTCGTCCAACATCCGCCTGCAGGGGGACATGCCCGACCTAAGGCCAGCCCCACTCGAAAAACGTCCCAGCGGCCGTCCCAGGCCCTTTTGCATCCTTGCCCCGGGTCCTCCTGATACGGGTCGGCTGCAGCCGAAGCAGGGAAAACAACACAAACAGCAACTGTCTGAGCTCCGCGCGGATTGTTCGAATCTGCGCTGGAAGCCCCCAGCGGCGCCTCCCGTGCCGCCCAAGGCGCGCTCCGCGCGCCGAGGAGGGGGCATCGAGCGCAGATCCCAGAAGCCCGCTCGGACATCCGAACGGTTACACGGTCTTTGGTATGCAGCCTGCTCTTCCTCTAGGTGATCCTGTTTATCGTCAACGATTCTTGGCGTTTTGTTATTCTTCTTATTAGCATCATGAGTATTATTATTATTACTATTATTATTAATATTATTATTAATATTAGTATTATTAGTATTATTATTATATAGTATGTAAATTAGTATTACATTATTATTATTGTTGGTACTATTATGATTATTAGTATTATTAATATCATTAGTAGTAGTAGTAGTATTATGATTATTATTATTGTTACTACAACTACTCGTATTATTATTATTATTAGTAGTAGTAGTATTATTCGTAGTATTACCCTGATCAGTATTTTGATTAGTAGTATGATTACGACTACCCTTTATTAATATTATTATTAGTATTATGATTATTATTACTACTATTAGTATTAGTATTGATGTTCGTAGTATTAGTAGTATTCTTATTATTACTAACTGTAGTATTATTATTACTGTTACGATGTGTATTATTAGTAATAGTAGTATTACTAGTATTATGTTTGGTGTTATGAGTATTAGTATAACTAGTAGTAATATTATTATTATTAATAATATTATTATTATTATTATGACTATTCGTTGGTTCTTCTTCCAAGGGGCAGTGGCTACAGCAGGCTCGCGCCGCTTCGGCGTGGCGGCGGCGTCGGCGCGGGCGTTCGAGGTGAAACTCCCTCCCGGGTGCCCGTGTTGGGTCTCAGGACTTGCAAGAGCAATGAATTGAGAGGAACCCATGCCAAGAAACACGCGATTGCCTCCAGGGTGCCCTGGGTTTCTTGGGTTTCGATGGTTTGGCTGTGGAAGGCGTGACGCTCCCACACCAAAAATCCTGGACGTCCTGGGCTCTCAAGGTTGGGTCTCTTGTGGAAGGTTTCCTGTGGTCGGGCCTCCAGTGCACGAGAGATGTGGAGAAGACCGGGGGTCGTTCAGGACTGAACGGTCCAGGCGGCGTCAGAAGCCGAGGCCCGCGTCACGAAGAAAAAGCGTGTCGTGGCGACTGGACCCCGACCGAAGCTTCGGCCTCTGCCCATCCTCTTCAGGATGCCGGGGTCGGCGTTTTTTGGGGTCGTAGCGACTGGATCCCGACCTGTGTGTCGGCCATTGTCCACCCTCTTCAGGATGCTGGGGTCGGCATTTTTTGGAGTCGCGGCGACTGGACCCCGTCCGAAGTTTCGGCCGCTGCCCATCCTCTTCAGGATGCCGGGGCCTGCGTTTCTTGGGGGGAGAAAACGCCCCAGAATGCGGCCAGGTCTGGGGCCCCCCGGAGGGGCCTTCAACTCTTGCGCGCGCACTCTGCTCGAAGCCCCTCCGAGCGCCGCGGACGTGGAGCATGCAGGCCCCGCGCGCAGCTGTTTGCCGAGCCAAAGTGCGTGGGAAGTCCGCGAGAGTCTGGCACTCTGCTCGGAGCTTCTCCGAGCGCCGCGCCGGCGTGGAACGCGCATCCCCGCGCACAACTGCTGCCGTGCCGAGGCGCGCGGGAAGTCCGCGAGAGTCCGGCACTCTGCTCGGAGCCCCTCCGAGCGCCGCCGGCGTGGAACGCGCATCCCCGCGCACAGCTGCTGCCGTGCCGAGGTGCGCGGGAAGTCCGCGGGAGTCCGGCATCCTGCTCGGAGCCCCTCCGAGCGCCGCCGGCGTGGAACACGCGCCCCCGCGCGCAGCTGCTGCCGCGCCGAGGCGCGCGGGAAGTCCGCGAGGGCCCGGCACTCTGCACAAAGCCCCTCCGAGCGCCGCTGGCGTGGAACACGCGCCCCCGCGCGCAGCTGCCGCCGCGCCGAGGTGCGCGGGGAGTCCGCGAGAGCCCGGCTCTCTGCTCGGAGCCCCTCCGAGCGCCGCCGGCGTGGAACGCGCATCCCCGCGCACAACTGCTGCCGCGCCGAGGTGCGCGGGAAGTCCGCGAGAGCCCGGCACTCCGCTCGGGGCCTTTCCGAGCGCCGCCGGCGTGGGACGCGCCCCCCCGCGCGCAGCTGCTGCCGCGCCGAGGCGCGCGGGAAGTCCGCGAGAGTCCGGCACTCTGCTCGGAGCCCCTCCGAGCGCCGCCGGCGTGGAACGCGCGCCCCCGCGCGCAGCTGCTGCCGCGCCGAGGCGCGCGGGAAGTCCGCGAGAGCCCGGCACTCTGCTCGGAGCTGGCCCCTTCCGAGCGCCGCCGGCGTGGAACGCGCGCCCCCGCGCGCAGCTGCTGCCGCGCCGAGGCGCGCGGGAAGTCCGCGAGAGCCCGGCGTTCTGCTCGGAGCCCCCCCGAGCGCCACCGGCGTGGAACGCGCATCCCCGCGCGCAGCTGCCGCCGTGCCGAGGCGCCTGGGAAGTCCGCGAGAGTCCGGCACTCTGCTCGGAGCCCGTCCGAGCGCCGCCGGCGTGGAACGCGCATCCCCGCGCACAGCTGCTGCCGCGCCGAGGTGCGCGGGAAGTCCGCGAGAGTCCGGCACGCCCTCTGCTCGGGGCCCCATCCGAGCGCCGCCAGCGTGGAACGCGCATCCCCGCGCACAGATGCTGCCGCGCCGCGGTGCGCGGGAAGTCCGCGAGAGTCCGGCACTCTGCTCGGGGCCCCTCCGAGCGCCGCCGGCGTGGGACGCGCATCCCAGCGCGCAGCTGCTGCCGTGCCGAGGTGCGCGGGAAGTCTGCGAGGGCCCAGCACTCCGCTCGGAGCCCCGCGCCGCCAGCGTGGAACGCGCATCCCCGCGCGCAGCTGCTGCCGCGCCGAGGCGCGCGGGAAGTCCGCGAGAGCCGGCACTCTGCTCGGTGCCCGTCCGAGCGCCGCCGGCGTGGACCGCGCATCCCCGCGCGCAGCTGCTGCCGCGCCGAGGTTCGCGGGAAGGCCGCGAGAGTCCGGCATCCTGCTCGGAGCCCCTCCGAGCGCCACCGGCGTGGAAAGCGCATCCCCGCGCGCAGCTGCCGCCGCGCCGAGGCGCGCGGGAAGTCCGCGACAGCCCAGCACTCTGCCCGGAGCACCTCCGAGCGCCGCCGGCGTGGAACGCGCGTCCCCGCGCGCAGCTCCTGCCGTGCGGAGGAGCGCGGGAAGTCCGCGAGAGTCGGGCACTCTGCTCGGAGCCCCTCCGAGCGCCGCCGGCGTGGTACGCGCATCCCCTCGCGCAGCTGCCGCCGTGCCGAGGCGCGCGGGAAGTCCGCGAGAGTCCGGCGCTCTGCTCGGAGCCCCTCCGAGCGCCGCCGGCGTGGAACGCGCATCCCCGAGCGCAGCTGCTGCCGTGCCGAGGCGCGCGGGAAGTCCGCGAGAGTCTGGCACTCTGTTCGGGGCCCTCCAAGCGCCGCCGGCGTGGAACGCGCATCCCAGCGCGCAGCTGCTGCCGCGCCGAGGCGCGCGGGAAGTCTGCGAGGGCCCAGCACTCTGCTCGGAGTCCCGCGCCGCCAGCGTGGAACGCGCGTCCCCGCGCGCAGCTCCTGCCGTGCGGAGGAGCGCGGGAAGTCCGCGAGAGCCCGGCACTCTGCTCGGACTCGGAGCCCCTCCGAGCGCCGCCAGCGTGGAACGCGCATCCCCGCGCACAGCTGCTGCCGCGCCGAGGTTCGCGGGAAGGCCGCGAGAGTCCGGCACTCTGAGCCCCTTCCGAGCGCCGCCAGCGTGGAACGCGCATCCCCGCGCGCAGCTGCCGCCGTGCCGAGGCGCGCGGGAAGTCCGCGAGAGTCCGGCACTCTGCTCGGAGCCCCTCTGAGCGCCGCCAGCGTGGAACGCGCATCCCCGCGCACAGCTGCTGCAGTGCCGAGGCGCGCGGGGAGTCCGCGAGAGCCCCGCACCCTGCTCGGAGCCCCTCCGAGCGCCGCCGGCGTGGAACGCGCACCCCCGCGCACTGCAGCTGCTGCCGCGCCGAGGCGCGCGGGAAGTCTGCGAGAGCCCTGCACTCTGCTCGGAGCCCCTTCCGAGCGCCGCCGGCGTGGGACGCGCATCCCCGCGCGCAGCTGCCGCCGTGCCGAGGTGCGCGGGAAGTCCGCGAGAGCCCGGCACTCTGCTCGGAGCCCCTCCGAGCGCCGCCGGCGTGGAACGCGCGCCCCCGCGCGCAGCTGCTGCCGCGCCGAGGCGCGCGGGAAGTCCGCGAGAGCCCGGCTCTCTGCTCGGAGCTGGCCCCTCCGAGCGCCGCCGGCGTGGAACGCGCGCCCCCGCGCGCAGCTGCTGCCGCGCCGAGGCGCGCGGGAAGTCCGCGAGAGCCCGGCGTTCTGCTCGGAGCCCCCCCGAGCGCCACCGGCGTGGAACGCGCGTCCCCGCGCGCAGCTGCCGCCGTGCCGAGGCGCCTGGGAAGTCCGCGAGAGTCCGGCACTCTGCTCGGAGCCCCTCCGAGCGCCGCCGGCGTGGAACGCGCATTCCCGCGCACAGCTGCTGCCGCGCCGAGGCGCGCGGGAAGTCCGCGAGAGTCCGGCACGCCCTCTGCTCGGGGCCCCATCCGAGCGCCGCCGGCGTGGAACGCGCATCCCCGCGCACAGATGCTGCCGCGCCGCGGTGCGCGGGAAGTCCGCGAGAGTCCGGCACTCTGCTCGGGGCCCCTCCGAGCGCCGCCGGCGTGGGACGCGCATCCCAGCGCGCAGCTGCTGCCGTGCCGAGGTGCGCGGGAAGTCTGCGAGGGCCCAGCACTCCGCTCGGAGCCCCGCGCCGCCAGCGTGGAACGCGCATCCCCGCGCGCAGCTGCTGCCGCGCCGAGGCGCGCGGGAAGTCCGCGAGAGCCCGGCACTCTGCTCGGTGCCCGTCCGAGCGCCGCCGGCGTGGACCGCGCATCCCCGCGCACAGTTGCTGCCGCGCCGAGGTTCGCGGGAAGGCCGCGAGAGTCCGGCATCCTGCTCGGAGCCCCTCCGAGCGCCACCGGCGTGGAAAGCGCATCCCCGCGCGCAGCTGCCGCCGTGCCGAGGTGCGCGGGAAGTCCGCGAGAGCCCGGCACTCTGCTCGGAGCCCCTCCGAGCGCCGCCGGCGTGGAACGCGCATCCCCGCGCGCAGCTGCTGCCGTGCCGAGGCGCGCGGGGAGTCCGCGAGAGCCCCGCGCCCTGCTCGGAGCCCGTCCGAGCGCCGCCGGCGTGGAACGCGCATCCCCGCGCGCAGCTGCTGCCGCGCCGAGGCGCGCGGGAAGTCCGCGAGAGTCCGGCACTCTGCTTGGACTCGGAGCCCCTCCGAGCGCTGCCGGCGTGGAACGCGCGCCCCCGCGCGCGGCTGCTGCCGCGCCGAGGCGCGCGGGAAGTCCGCGAGAGCCCGGCACTCCGCTCGGAGCCTCTCCGAGCGCCGCCGGCGTGGAACGCGCACCCCCGCGCACAGACAGCTGCTGCCGCGCCGAGGCGCGCGGGAAGTCCGCGAGAGTCCGGCACTCTGCTCGGAGCCCCATCCGAGCGCCGCCGGCGTGGAACGCGCATCCCCGCGCTCAGCTGCTGCCGCGCCGAGGCGCGCGGGAAGTCCGCGACAGCCCAGCACTCTGCCCGGAGCACCTCCGAGCGCCGCCGGCGTGAAACGCGCGTCCCCGCGCGCAGCTCCTGCCGTGCGGAGGAGCGCGGGAAGTCCGCGAGAGTCGGGCACTCTGCTCGGAGCCCCTCCGAGCGCCGCCGGCGTGGTACGCGCATCCCCTCGCGCAGCTGCCGCCGTGCCGAGGCGCGCGGGAAGTCCGCGAGAGTCCGGCGCTCTGCTCGGAGCCCCTCCGAGCGCCGCCGGCGTGGAACGCGCATCCCCGAGCGCAGCTGCTGCCGTGCCGAGGCGCGCGGGAAGTCCGCGAGAGTCCGGCACTCTGTTCGGGGCCCCTCCAAGCGCCGCCGGCGTGGAACGCGCATCCCAGCGCGCAGCTGCTGCCGCGCCGAGGCGCGCGGGAAGTCTGCGAGGGCCCAGCACTCTGCTCGGAGTCCCGCGCCGCCAGCGTGGAACGCGCGCCCCCGCGCGCAGCTCCTGCCGTGCGGAGGAGCGCGGGAAGTCCGCGAGAGCCCGGCACCCTGCTCGGACTCGGAGCCCCTCCGAGCGCCGCCAGCAGCGTGGAACGCGCATCCCCGCGCACAGCTGCTGCCGCGCCGAGGTTCGCGGGAAGGCCGCGAGAGTCCGGCACTCTGAGCCCCTTCCGAGCGCCGCCAGCGTGGAACGCGCATCCCCGCGCGCAGCTGCCGCCGCGCCGAGGTGCGCGGGAAGTCCGCGAGAGCCCGGCACTCTGCTCGGAGCCCCTCTGAGCGCCGCCAGCGTGGAACGCGCATCCCCGCGCACAGCTGCTGCAGTGCCGAGGCGCGCGGGGAGTCCGCGAGAGCCCCGCGCCCTGCTCGGAGCCCCTCCGAGCGCCGCCGGCGTGGAACGCGCATCCCCGCGCACTGCAGCTGCTGCCGCGCCGAGGCGCGCGGGAAATCCGCGAGAGCCCTGCACTCTGCTCGGAGCCCCTTCCGAGCGCCGCCGGCGTGGGACGCGCATCCCCGCGCGCAGCTGCCGCCGTGCCGAGGTGCGCGGGAAGTCCGCGAGAGCCCGGCACTCTGCTCGGAGCCCCTCCGAGCGCCGCCGGCGTGGAACGCGCATCCCCGCGCGCAGCTGCTGCCGTGCCGAGGCGTGGGAAGTCCGCGAGAGTCCGGCACTCTGCTCGGAGCGCCCCTCCGAGAGCCGCCGGCGTGGAACGCGCATCCCCGCGCACAGCTGCTGCCGCGCCGAGGCGCGCGGGAAGTCCGCGAGAGTCCGGCAGCCCCTCCGAGCGCCGCCGGCGTGGAACGCGCATCCCCGCGCGCAGCTGCTGCCGTGCCGAGGTGCGTGGGAAGTCCGCGAGAGCCCGGCACTCTGCTCGGAGCCCCTCCGAGCGCCGCCGGCGTGGAACGCGCATCCCCGCGCACAGCTGCTGCCGTGCCGAGGTGCGTGGGAAGTCCGCGAGAGCCCGGCGCTCTGCTCGGAGCCCCTCCGAGCGCCGCCGGCGTGGAACGCGCATCCCCGCGCGCAGCTGCTGCCGCGCCGAGGTGCGTGGGAAGTCCGCGAGAGTCCGGCACTCTGCTCGGAGCCCCTCCGAGCGCCGCCGGCGTGGGACGCGCGTCCCTGCGCGCAGCTGCTGCCGCGCCAAAATGGGAAGTCCGCGAGAGTCCGGCACTCTGCTGGGAGCCTCTCCGAGCGCCGCCGGCGTGGAAAGCGCATCCCCGCGCGCAGCTGCTGCCGCGCCGAGTTGCGTGGTAAATTCACGAGATTCCGGCACTCTGCTCGAAGCCCTTCCGAGCGCCGCCGGGCGTGGAACGCGCATCCCCGCGCACTGCAGCTGCTGCCGCGCCGAGGCGCGCGGGAAATCCGCGAGAGCCCTGCACTCTGCTCGGAGCCCCTTCCGAGCGCCGCCGGCGTGGGACGCGCATCCCCGCGCGCAGCTGCTGCCGTGCCGAGGTGCGCGGGAAGTCCGCGAGAGCCCGGCACTCTGCTCGGAGCCCCTCCGAGCGCCGCCAGCGTGGAACGCGCATCCCCGCGCGCAGCTGCTGCCGCGCCGAGGTGCGCGGGAAGTCCGCGAGAGTCCGGCACTCTGCTCGGGGCCCCTCCGAGCGCCGCCGGCGTGGAACGCGCGTCCCCGCGCGCAGCTGCTGCCGTGCCGAGGCGCGCGGGAAGTCCGCGAGAGTCCGGCACTCTGCTCGGAGCCCCTCCGAGCGCCGCCGGCGTGGAACGCGCATCCCCGCGCACAGCTGCTGCCGTGCCGAGGTGCGCGGGAAGTCCGCGAGAGTCCGGCACTCTGCTCGGAGCCCCTCCGAGCGCCGCCGGCGTGGAACGCGCATCCCCGCGCACAGCTGCTGCCGTGCCAAAAGGTGCGTGGGATGTCCGCGAGAGCCAGATCAAACGTGCCAGACAAAGGTCGCCGGCGTGGCCCCCAGACCTCCGACGACGGCCCTCCTCCGCAGGCCGGGCCCTGCCCTCGGGAGCTGCTGAGTCGTCCAGGCGGCCAGCATGCTGGGGGCTTCGTGGCAGCGACCTCGGCATTGGGCCGAGTAGATTTCCACGGCCATCCAGAACAGTTCCAGGGCCACGGGCTCCGCCAGGCCAGAAAGGGATGATTGCAAGGTGGCGGAGGAGGAGGAGGAGAGCTTGCGAGGGTGAGTGCGGTGAGGAGCGTGTGACACGGAGGACGCGCCATGTCTGGTGTGCGTGGATATGTGAGTATGCGAGGGGACAGGGAGTGGGATGGACGCCAGTACAATTATGTAAGTAGTCTTGACGAATCGGGCTGTCGACATCCCTCTTGAGGGTTCCAGATAGCTTCCAAAGTAAGTAAAAGAGAGAGGCGGTCATCGTGGTCACGTCGGAATTGATTTGATCGGAAGACGCACAGGGCGAACCACCGCCGCCCCTTGCCTGATGGAGACGCCCATGCGGCCAAACGTTGGGCCAAAGTCTGGCCAAGCTAGTGAACTACATGTGTCCCGCGCCGTTTTGGAACCCCTTGGGGGACACGCGGGAGAGGAAGAGGAGGGGGCCGTTTCGGGGCCTTTTGGGAAGCCTCCCAGGGCCCTCTTGGCTTTCGGAGGCAGCCTTGGGCGCCTATCGATTTTGGGTCCTTCTTTAGGCTTAATAAGGCAGTCTTGGAGGTCAGTGGAACAGTTTCGCGTGCATCGTGAGACGGTTTGAGATCGTATTGAGGACGTCTCGCGGGCCCCTTCGGCCGCCTCGGGTGGCCTTTTTGGGTAACATTGAGGGTTTCTTGGGGCGTGCTGGAGCGCAGGAAGCCCGAAAAGGCGAGAACTTCAGATCTGTGCAAAGCCTGTGGGGTATCAATGCTTTTGGCCTAGTGGATGCCCTCTTAGATCCTTATTGGGACTGGGGGCCGCTTGGGCCGTGTGGGCATCTTGGGACCGTTTTGGAAACCGTATTGGGCCACGTTGGCCGTCTTGGGCGCCGTTTGGGAGCCCATTTTGGGCATTTTAAAAGCGGATGGCGCAACTTTACGGGTTGTCAGTGAGGCTTGTGGGATCGACCGTAACCCCATTGAAAGTTGTTCGACGGTTTGAAGCAGCAGAAGTTCTGACACGCCAAACACCCTTGTGATCAGAACCGGGGGCGGCGGATCGAAGACGCCTACGGCGAACCGCCGCGACCCCCTGCCTTTTGGAAACGCCTGTGTAGCCAAACGCTGGGCCGAAGTCTTGCCAAGCTATTGGACCACGTGCTCCCCCAGCCGTTGTGGAACCCCTTGGGGGAACATTTCGGAGAGGAAGGGAAAGGAGGATGAGAGGAGAAGGAGGACGAGGAGGAGGAGGAGAAAGAAGGAGGAGGAGAAGCGGCAGCGTTCGAAGAACCCCATTGCCATCAGTGTCTCAGTGTCTCAGGAGGGGAAGGAAGAGGAAGTGGAGGCCTGTGGCGGCCGTCTTGTTGCGTCCTGGGGACTTCTGGGAGCCGCTTGGGGGTCTCTGTGGGCCTCTTGGGGGCCTTTGGGGGTCTATTGGGGCCCTCCTGGGGCCTCTTGGCGGCTTCTTGGTGGCCTCGTAACCTTCGGAGGCCGTCTTGGAGGCCTCTGGACAGGAGTCCCTCTTTGGACGCTTCGTGCCACATTGACGGTCTGTTGGGCCGTCTTGGGAGTTTCCTGGCACGTCTCAAGTCCTTTTGGGCCGTCTTGCGGGCCTCTGGGGCCGTCTTTGAGCGTCGGAAGCCCGAAAGGCGAGAACCTAAGGATCATCAATGATTTCGGCCTCCTGGAGATCCTCTTGCAGCCCTCTTGAGGCGTATTGGGGGCTTCTTGGGCCGTCTGGAGGGCATCTTAGACCGTCTTAGGACCATCCTGGCCGTCTCGAAGGTCTTGGGACCCTCTTGGAGACCATTTTGGGCCATATGATCCTGGGTCGAGGGTGCACTGGCCCCCCCACCCACCCCACCCAGATGAGATGGTCCTCAGGGTTCCACAGCCCCCCCCCCCGGATGGGATGGGGTGGACGACGACGACGACGACGACGACGACGACGACGACGACGACGACGACGACGACGACGACGACGGCGACGACGACGACGACGACGACGACGACGACGACGACGACGACGGACGCCGACGCCGACGCCGACGCCGACGCCGACGACGCCGACGCCGACGCCGACGCCGACGCCGACGACGACGCCGACGCCGACGCCGACGCCGACGACGACGAACCACCCCACACCCACAGCGGGAAGGGAGTACACGGGCACCCGCCACCACGCCACACCCACAGGGCCACGACCACAGGGAGGGGGTAGCGATCCCACTCGCGAGGCCCTGCGGAACCGGTCTCGAACAGCTCTCGGCGAAAGCAGTCAAACGTCGACCCTCCACCACGCCACGCCCACAGGCCAATACTGTAACCACGAGGGGGCGGGGGGTGAGCGATCCCATTCGCGAGGTCTCTGCGAGCGAGGCTCACGGGCGGAGGGGGGGGAGTCTGCTTACATTACCATTGGGGAGGGGGGGGCAGTCCTGGATCATGTTTACGATGCTGGAGGGCCATCTTGGGCCATCGTTCCTTTCCTGGAGGCGATTCGGGCAAGGATTGATGTATTATCCCAGCCTTTCCGGGTGGCCGGCAGGCTGTGCTGAGACCCCAGTGGGATTTTTGAAATAAAGGACGAAGCAGTCAAATATATGGCACGCCAGGCACCCCTTGAATTAATCGACAGGGGGTGGCGGATCGAAGACGCCTACTGCGAATCACCGCCGCACCCTGCCTTTTTGGAAGCGCCTATGTGGCCGAACGTTGAGGCCAGACCTGCCCAGTTATCGAACCATGCGTTCCCCGAATCGGTTTGGAAAGCATTCGGGGAACACGTGGGCATCTTGAAGGTCATCTTGGCCGTCGGGAAGCCATTTTGACCCTTTCGGGCCTTCTTGGGGGACGTCTTGGAGGGCTCTTTGGGCCGTCTTGGAGGCCATCTTGAGCGTCTTGGGGGCCTCTTGGGCCGTCTTGGGGGCCTCTTGGGGCCGTCTTGGGCCTCTTGGGCGATCTTTGGGGGCACTTGGGCCGTCTCGGGCCATCGGAAGGCCGAACAAAAAGCAAATGCCACAATCCTCCAAAAATCAATGGGAAATCAATGATTTTGGCATTTCGAGCCTTCCTGGAGGCCCTCTTGGAGGCCTCTTGGGCCGTCTTGGGCCATCTTAGGGCCATCTTCGGACGTCTTGGTGGGCTCCTGGCTCGTCTGACGCCGTCGGAAGCAGTTTGGGGGGCCTCTCTGGGCCGACTTGGGGCCCTCTTGGAATGCTCCAGGGCCGTCTTGGAGGCCATCGCGGGCGTCTTAAAGGCCTCCTGGGCCGTCGTTGGGGCATCTTGGGGCGTCTTGAGGGCCTCTTGGGCCGTTCTGAGGATATTGGAGGCCTCTTGGGCGATCTTTGGGTGATCTTTGGGGGCTCTTGGGCCGTCTCGGGCCGTCGGGAGGCCGAAAATTCCCAAATGTCAAAATCCTTCAAAAACCTTAGGGAAATCAGTGATTTGGGCCTTCTTCTGGCCTTCCTGGAGACCCTCTTGGAGGCCTCTTGGGCCGTCTTGGGCCAGCTTCTAGCCAACTTCGGCCATCTTGGTGGATTCCCCGCCCGTCTGACGCCATCGGGAGCCGCCTTGGGGGCCTCTCTGAACCGACTTGAGGTCCTCTTGGGGCGCTTCGGGGCCGTCTTGGGGCCCTCTTGGGGCCGACTTGGAGGCCTCTTGGGCCGTCATGGGGCCCTCTTGGAGGCCTCGTGGGCGATCTTGGGGCGATCTTGGCGGCCTCGTTTTGAGCCGTCGGAATGCCGAGAAGAGGCACATGCCAAAATCCTTCAAAAACCGATGGAAAAAAAAAAAAAAAAAAAAAAAAAAAAAAAAAAAAAAAAAAAAAAAAAAAAAATGACGTTGGCCTCCCCGGGCCCTCCTGGAGGACCTCTTGGAGACCTCTTGGGCCGTCTTGGGCCGTTTTGGAGGCTTCTTGGGTGAACTTGGAGGTATCTTGGACCCTCTTGGGCCGTCTTGGAGGCCATCTTGAACCATCTTGAGCGGACTCGGAGGCCATCTTGGACCATCTTGGAGGCCATCTTGGGCCAACGTGGCCATCTTGGAGGCCATCTTCAGCCGTCTTGGAGGAAACATTGGGGAAATCCTGTTCCGTGGCAATCCTCCCGGGACCCCGGCGGGACGGGCCGAAGCCCCAGGGGGAGTTCGTTTGGAAAAGAACCATAACCAAAACCGAGAGGGTTTAGCACGCCAGGCACCCCTGCGATGAATCGACAGGGGGCGGCGGATCTAGTGGCCTTCGGCCCGTCCCGCCACCGAGCCTAGGTCGTGGCCAAATGGTCCCAGAGGAAACTCTTGAAGGCTCTAGGGAGGCCTCTAGGAGGCCTCTTGGAAATATCTTTGGGGCCTCCTGGGGTCTTCTTGGGGCCCTACTGGCAGTCTCAAGAGCCATCTTGAAGGACCGGGCTCGAAATGCCAGGTCACGTTCCCCCTCTTAGGTCCGTCGTAGGGGCCTCTTGGGCCCTCTTGAGTACCTCGGGGGTCGTCTTGAGGCGATATTGGAGGCCTCTTGGAGCGTCTTGGACGCTATTCAAATCGCAAAGGCGAGCATGCGAAAATCATACCCAATGGAACCCTTGCCTTTGACAGCTGTCCAAAGTGGCCCAGCATTCATCTCCTAGCCCTTACTATTATGTGTACGTTTATAAGTAGCAGTAGTAGTAGTAGTAGTAGTAGTAGTAGTAGTAGTAGTAGTAGTAGTAGTAGTAGTAGTAGTAGTAGTAGTAGTAGTAGTAATGGTAGTAGTAATGGTAGTAGTAATGGTAGTGGTAGTAG